TGAGTATAATTCTGCAAAAGAGGACAGTCCCATGGCCCTTGCGAAACGGAAGGGACTGAGCCAGCTGAGACATTTCTTTGCAGGGAAGTGCTAAAGCGAAGTGTGCATGGACAAAAACTCACAGCCTGGGAGTAGGGTTTCTCATCCAGACCCTTTGGAAGCAGAAGGAGGAAAATTTAAATTTGCTTTGGAGTTTGGAATATGCTCCTTTGGTGTGCATTGCCACATTTATTTGCATGCTATTTGAGGCAGCTGTCTTCTGGGGCTTTTAAACAGTTTGAGAGAGACTCAGCAGCTCTCTCCTGGTCTGTACCCTACCCAGACATGGACGGTTTTCTCAGGCCCGTGTCCCTGTTTCCTGTCCTGTGCCTTAGCCAACTCTTGAACATAGCGGGTCCTGCAAACGCTTGCAGGATGAATGCAGATTTGTCTTTGCGTGGCTCTTCATATGCCAAAGATATCTGGGAGAAGGAGTAAGGGGAGAAGCGTATTCTCCATTGTTCAAAAGATTAGGTATCTTCCTATCTAAGAGTGCTTGAAATGTGGCCATGAGAATTTCGTTCCTTTGATCAAAGGACCATAAAACCCCCCTTCTCCTTTACCACTGCCAGTGATCCTCAGAGGCTGAAAAATTGAAGTCATTGCCACCTCAGGCGATCTTTATTTTACAAGGAAAGTCCTTCACTCAACAAAGGGCCTTGGTGGAACTGTCTCTGGGGGTAGCTAGGATGAGGTGAGGAGGTGAAGAGGTGGATAGTGACACCGAAGAAAGGGACACAGACGTAGGGAAAGCCCTGGAAATGCTTCACAGAGACCGGAAGTGCTGGGACTGAGCACAGAACTGTGCCTCCAGCGGTTCTTCCATCGTAGGCGGCGTTCGTGACAGGAACGTGAGGGACAGTGCTAGGTCAACTTGGTCCTCGTCCACTGCAGATAATGGGGGATAATGAAGCAGCCATCACTTACTAAATTACCTGTAATTTCCGAGGCACTGAGATCCATACACATCATTGTAGGTGCTGTTTCTTTCTTTTTCTTTTCTTTTCTTTTTTTGGTAGAAAGTCACAAAAGGCTAGAGGTATATTCAGGTGGATCAGAGAAAAATGCAAATTTGTATATCCTCAAGGTATGACTGAAAAATACAGTGGATGCCAAATTTTTAAGGAATTTATTGCAGTAAAAGACACATTGTCAGGGCCAGGGATTTAGCTCAGAGGTTCTGCTGCCTGCCTTGCAAGCACAAGGACCCAAGTTCGATCCCCTGTACCAAAAAACAAATTAAAAAAAGATATATTGTCATTTGTCCCCCTCAGAATATTCCCCTCACTTCACACGCATGTGAGCCCATCATTCTTACCACTTTCTGGAGCACCTCTGGAATTCCTCTTTCATATCTTTAGTTGTGATGTCGTGGCTGCCTCAGTGTCCTCAATGGATCCAAAACATTTACCTTTCGTGGTCATTTTGGCTTTGGGAAGAGCCAGGAGGCACACGGTGATGGCTCCAGTGCATAAGGTGGATGAGAACACACCGCAGTGTTTTTATTTGACAGAAACTGCTGGAAAATTCTTTTGGGGGGGTACCGGGGATCGAACTCAGGTCCTTACGCTTGCAAGGTAGGCGGCGGAACCACTGAGCTAAATCCCCTGCCCTGGAAATATTTTTTAATTGATTCCGGACATTGAAACAGCCACACAAAGACTCACGAAAGAGGACTTCCGGAACTGCTTCCGGAAGTGGGAGGAATGATGGGATAAGTGTGTTTGAAGCAGGAGGGAGCACGTTGAGGGAGATGAATGGCAATGTGTCCTTCCTGTTTTTAACTTAAAGCAGTCAGCCTGTATTGTGACCACACCTCACAAGTGTTGGTCCTCAAGCCTTCCTCGGTGGCGCCACTGTAACTAGCATCCCAAAGGTGAGGTGGCAAACGAACCCCTGTTCCTCCCGTCGTTGCCCCAATAGCGGAGGAAGCCTCACTTTTCCTGCATCTTCTCTGTCTGGTTAAACCCCTGACTCCTTAACTGAGCCTCATCGGAAGGGAATTCCAGACTTCTCAGCCTCCTCCTCACTCTTTTAAAGCGTCCTCTTTAGCATTACTCTCCTCGAGTGTAGGATAAATCGGTACCCAGAACCCCCATGGGTGTCTCCCCGGAGATTTTAAGGACTCTCCAAATTCTGGGAGCAGAAACTGAAGCTGACACTTCTGACTCCAGTTACACCAAGAAGCAAGAAGCAGACACGTGAAGCAAAGTGCTGGCTCTGCATTTTTGTCTTCATTTTTCTTATCCTAGAAATAATGTTCTCACGAATATTTATTTTTAAAGTATTCAGAATTCATAGATTTTTTTCCTTAAAATAGAGAAGAAATTTGCTGTATTTCAAATAAATTTTTATGAACATAAAACAGCAGATAAAAACAGAGATGCAAGCTGGTTATGGTAGCATATATATATATATATATATATATACACACACACATATATATCCCAGCAACTTGGGAGGCTGGGAGAAAAGGACAGAAAGTTCTAAACTAATCAGGGCAATTCAGCGAGACCTGTCTTGAAATAAAAAAATAAAGGGCTGGGGCGTAGCTCAGTGATGGACTATGCACTTGTCTTGCACGTAAAAACCTGGGTTAAAGCCCTAGTACCTCCAAAATAAAACGAAACAAACACACACAAATGTATTTAAATGTAAAGCTTGAAACCCATATTTCTAATACAAATTGATAGCAATAAAATAAATATTGGTAACAACTGTCCTACGGATAATAGAAGAAAGTATAGTAATGAAAACCTAAACTTTGTGTTTGACTTTTTAAAAATATACAGTGTTTTAAAAAATGGGTGTTTATGATGTCATTCTTAAGCCAGAGAATACTTTTGCACAAAGTTTCTGACCTTTCAAGCATTATGCTTTAATTTTTTCTTCTTATCTTTTGTATTTCTACTAGAAGCTTTTTTATTTCTGGTTACTATGAAGCTTATATAAAGCATATTATAGCTATAAGACTCTAAACTGATAGCAACTAAGCCAGGTGTGATGGCAGTGCCTATAAACTCAGCACCCTGGGAGGCTGAGGCAGGAAGATCACAAATTCAAGCCCAACCTGGGCAGCTTAGTGATACCGTCTCAAAATAAAGAAATGCAGGGCCAGGGATTTAGCTCAGTGGCACTGCACCTGCCTCACAAGTGCAAGGTCCTGAGTTCGCTCTCTGGTACCAAAAAAAAGT